TCGATACCTAGTGTTGAAGTGTGACGGAAAGAGTGATTACCATACGAGCAAGGTGGTCGAACCATCGAATGTGTATATAGGGGTGTATGCGAGACCTCTTGCTTGCAAATGTTCGCATCATTCGGAGACACCGTGTTAGCACCTACGCCTCTGACATGAGGGGTGGATATCGTATGCTGAACTACCACCCATCCTTCCCCATCTCCCACTCCCCCAGGCATGGCCCCACATGGCCAATGCCATGAAGTACATGATTGCGTTGGGGCTAGTTATCATCTCCTCATTCCACGACAAGTGGACGAAGGAGGGTGACTACTGGACCCCGAGTCGCATCATTTGGTTCGCAGCCATGACCGTGTCCACACTGTACTCGTACACGTGGGATATATGCATGGACTGGGGCCTGGTTGAGTGGCACTATGGGCGGCCGTCTCTTCGGTTGAACTGGACCTATGGTATGGTTTGTGAGGGGGTGGGGTGTTTAAGGTTGTTCAAGGGTGGCGTGTTGAAGGATGTTCGAGGGGAGAGCGATGGTGTGGTGGTGCTTATTGGTGCTTGTTCAGTGGCTTGTGTGATGTGTGGTGGTGCGCACTGACAGTCTCTGCAGTGTGCTTGTTCACATGGGATATATGCATGGGATGGTTCCGTATGGGGTGGTATCATAGCCGGCCGTCTCGGCGGTTGAACTGAGCCTGCGGTATGATCTGTGAGGGGGTGTGGTGTTTTTGGGGGGTAGGGTGTTTTTGGGGGGTAGGGTGTTTATGGGGGATGTGGTGGTGTGGCCATACTATGCTGTACTCGCATTTCTATTTTTCTGATGCTGTTCTCACATTTCTGTGTGTTTTCTGTGCCCTCCCTTGCCTTGCCTATGCACGTTGTGAACAGGACTCAAGACGATGACTATTGTACCAGCCATACTGCACACACATCTTGCACACTGCCTTTTACGTTGAGTGCGCGTGTTTGTGTTTATTTTCTGTGTGCGCATTGCCTCGTACACGCATTGAACAGGTCCCTAGTAAGTGGCTGTACCACCAGCCGTGCTATATACACGCTGTTTCCTCAGTTATGTCCTTATTCAGGGCCCATACTGACCATTCCTGTATATACTCTGTGCTGACCTGTTACCACCAGCCGTGCTATATACATGCTGTTTCCTCAGTTATGTTCTTGTTCAGGACCCATACTGACTATGTCTGTATATACTCTGTGCTGACCTGTTACCACCAGCCGTGCTATATACACGCTGTTTCCTCAGTTATGTCCTTATTCAGGGCCCATACTGACCATTCCTGTATATATTCTATGCTGACCTGTTACCACCAGCCGTGCTATATACACGCTGTTTCCTCAGTTATGTTCTTGTTCAGGACCCATACTGACTATGTCTGTATATACTCTGTGCTGACCTGTTACCACCAGCCGTGCTATATACACGCTGTTTCTTCAGTCATGTCCTTATTCAGGACCCATACTGACTATTTCTGTATAAACTCTGTGTATATACTCTGTGCTCACATGTCCTTTCTCGTGCATACGATGCACAGGTCCCAAGTGGATGACGGTGGTGCCGGCCATACTGAACTTGGCGGGTCGATTTGTGTGGGCGCTGACGTTAACGGCTACACTGAATCCATTCGCATCCTTACCGCCGCAGCTGGTGACGCTGTTAGTGGCGCTTATTGAGATAGTGCGACGATCGCAATGGTATGCCATTGACTACGGCCAGTTGGGTGTATGGTACTCTCTCAAGCGCATGTGATATATAGTACACGCCAAATGTGGCCCATTGAGCCTCTCCTGGGCAGACGCATGACCAACATGGGTGCACTAACCGCACTGGCTGGCTGGTTCAAACCGCGTTGCAGAACCAATCGCAGATCCCTGTCTATGCGAAAACCTTAGGTTAGCTATTACACGTCGTGAGAACGAACATGTCGAAAGCCACAGCAGAAATACTCGGTATCTGTATTGTTGATGTGTTTCGGATTGTCTAATTTTTAGGGTTCAGGGTTGTCTGGATAAGGAATGAGTCAAATAACTGATACAGAAATATCCGACTAACATGTCGTTGTCTTGTTTCGTTCTATCTAATGCTTAGGGGTACCATACATCTCGAGAATCCCTTCTTTTAATAACTATGGCAAATAACTTAATTTATATATTCACAACAGGTGTGTAATTTGGCTTAGGTTTAGGGCTTTCATGCGACTCGACAACGGGCTTATCATTACCATATGGCTGCTATCACTGTTGATAGCTTGCTTATTTATTTATTCATCAATGCTTCAGGTCAACCAGACCTCTCAGAAATGAATATGTTGGTAACTTGGTCTAAAAGCAAAGCCACCTAACCTGCACTCCTTGCCGCTTGGTAACTTTATTTATTTCAATCTGTGTATTGCTTGTATCGCGTGTATTCAATCTCTAGGGCTATCATGCGACTTGAGAACGAACATGTCAATAACTATGGAAAATACCGAGCCGTTGCCGAGATTCCGCTGGCGTTTGACGTAGACACGCACGTGGTGACGTATCACGTTGATAGACTTATCAGGCATCTGAAGGTATGCATCTTTGATGATGATGGCACAGAGTGAAGTGCATGGGCGTACAATTGGATGTAAGTTTATGTATTTGTATCATTGGATATAAGTATATGTATTTGTATTGTTGGATACGATTGTATATATTTGTAACATTGAATATAAGTATATGTATTTGTATTATTGGATGTAAGTATATGTATTTGTATCATCGGATACAATTGTATGTATTTGTGTCATCGGATACAAGTATATATACTTGTATCGTTGTATACGTCTGTGAACGATGTAGTTATACATAAAGCTCAGGTGAACAGATTGCATCCCTACGCATAATTGGTCATCCGCATGTCACATAGTAGTGTTTGTGGTATACTGTCCACTAAACGGTTACAACCCCCTGATTTAGAGCTAGATAATAACATTGTGGTGGTGAGATTGTTTGCGTTGCTACCGTATAGTCAGTGCCAGCTGTCCTCATCCATTCTATCGCATGTGATCTCTTTATCTTTATAGATGCGCATACATTCAAATCACAAGGTATTGTCGAGAAAACGCAATGTATGTTCTTGGTACACATGCTTGTACAATTGTACATAGGAAATGTAGCACCTGGGTATGCGCTATTGGGATGTACATGCATAAGATGCATAAGCACATATGCACAACCTCATAGAAAGCTCAAAGAGATCGGTGACTCTACCGACTAATATTTATCTATAGCGCACACGCACACCACAACAAACAAATGCACACGTCTCCACATGGTATCTGGATACACACAGTAAAGCATTGGGAATGAACCAACTTAACATATATGTATTTACGTGTCCATACAGGACCCAACATATATCTCTATACGCATATCAATCCCCTACGGAACTTGACGCATGTGTGCATGTCCACTCAACAAATAGAACCAAACACACGTGTACATACGCATATAACTTCTCTACAGAGCGAAACACATACGTATACACGCATACAACGTCCAAACAAACCCTAACACACATGGATATAATACAATGTTCAAACAGAATCTAACATACACACATACACGCACACGCACACACACACACACACACACACACACACACACATATATATATACATGCATACAACGTCTCTGCAGAAAGCTCAAGCAGACGGGAGGGCGCTGACGCCCACCAGCTATCTACAACGCACACGCACACCCCAAGGCTCTCCTGGCGTTGTTCGCAGTAGCAGTCGCAAACGCAGAGAGGAAGCGAACAAGTACAATAACAACGGCAATGCGAAAGACGCACCCAAGTCTCCCGAGCATGCGCGTTCAGCAGCCGTTGCTGAAGCCCAGGCTCAGCACAACCATAGGAAGGCTGAGGGAACGCCCAGTAGACGACCCACGCTGGTTGTGGACAATCGCATACAGAG